CCCCAGATCTTCCATCTACTGGCCTCAAAATTTAAGGCATTCGTATGAAAGTTTCTGCAGGGAAATTACTGTGTAAATTGGCTAGATAGTGAGCAAAATAATGAACCTTTCAGCAGACACAGAACAAGCGGAAAAGGAAAACTAACTATGCCAAGCGGAAATTTATTGTGCGGCGGTTTCTGGTCCACTACATTCACATCTTTGTTTGCAATTTTGGCTGCAATCAGAATTTTCTGTGTGCGAAAACTTTTCGGCGAACCATACACCTTCTGCAAAATGCATATAATTTAAATTTACACCAAAAATTTTCATCTATCCATTCCAATAAAACAATTTAAATTTTAATCAAATTCATACTAATCGCCACAATTGTTGTACTGACGAGGTTCAGTTGTGGTAATGGTAAGAATGTATATGACTTAATGGACCGAAACATTCCTCATTATTAAAAAAATTTTTTTTTCAACATTTTATCTTATTTTATTTTATTTATCTTATTTCATTATTTCATGGAAAAATGGCAAAAAAATAAATAGCAACGCGCATCAGACTAGCCGGTGCGATCATGCTTTTTGTGCAATTCAGCCCATCGAACGATTGCCTATTAATGATTTTCACTGCTTTGTACTTTAGTCTATGCAAAAATACCCATCGAACGATTGCCTATTAATGATTTTCACTGCTTTGTACTTTAGTCTATGCAAAAATAGTTCTAACATTGAAAAACAGTTAAAAATTTCACGCACCAGCGTATGAAAGCTGATTTCGAAACCTTGAAGGAGTAATTGGAAAACAGTTAAAAATTTCACGCACCAGCGCATGAAAGCTGAATTCGAAACCTTGGAAGGTGACTATCTTTCCGTGATTCCCGAGTTAATAGTTTGCCCCCTCCCCTCCCAAAATTTCCACGAGGCCGTAGGTGATGCTCAAGAGCGCGGGGACGATGAATATGAATTGGCAATGTTGAGCGCAGGCAGGGAGTCATTACCCTAAAATTTCAGCCTCCTAGACTCCGTGGTTCCCGAGATATTAATTTAC